GACTGCACAGACCTAGAGCCTGTAAATCCAGTCAGACCTCCTCTGACTCTTGTACAGCTTTGATTCGTAGGTGGCCTGTTGGCTCCTTTGGTCTAGATGACCTTTAGAGGTCCCTTTCAACTCTAAAGATTCTACGATTATCAGACTTTGTTACCCTGAGGGCTGTAACTCCAACATCATGCTTAAAACCAAGACCTTTCTGTTATCCCCTCATCCCGAGCAGCAGTGTGAAAACCAGCCAGTCCATAACAAGCACTGGCTCACAGCTGCCCACAGGTACACCGGCTGACTCTAGGGCAGCATATGGGGCACATCACACAGTGCCTTCACTGCCTGGGTCCCCATGGTTGTGCGTTTCACAGGGTACCTCAGCCCTTGATGCTATAGCAGAAGAAGCACGTATCATAATGAGCTTATTCTACACCGTTTGCTTCCTGGTTCCTCGTATTGTAGGTACTGAAACTTTTTAAATTGCTGTTACACAAAATGCGAGATTCTAACAAAAGCGGTGTCTAACAAAAGCACAACACCGGCTGAGGTACAATAGAGCAGTTCTGCCTCCAGCCGCGACCAGAACTCGGCGCCACCTGGGGCTGGCAGCCCGGGCAGGAGCAGCCAGGCTGAGGCTCCCTGCACAAGTACCATCATTACCGCGCGGAACACAACGCGCCCGAGGCGGAGCGCACCCAGCCACGCCGCTCTTCCCGCGCTGCCGCCCGTGCCGCCGCGCGCAGGCTCCATAGGCGGTGCGCGAGGAATCCAACAGGTGGCTCCGTGGCGCAATGGATAGCGCATTGGACTTCTAGAGGGTTGAAGGGATTCAAAGGTTCCGGGTTCGAGTCCCGGCGGAGTCGTGGCTTCTCTTTTCATACCGCTTTTTCTTTCCTTCACTTTCCCATCTACACTTTTCACCTCGTTCCTCCCTCCCTTCCCCCACCGCCGCAGTAACCGGGGTTGCCTACCTGCCGCTTTCCAGAGGACCTTTCCGGGGCCGCCTCCCGGCGCGCCCGACGGAGCGGGGAAGGCTGGGAGCGGGCGGAGACGGCGGCGGCAGCCGAGCGGCCGTCTGGACTCGAGCCTCCGCCGAGAAGGAACGGCGCACCGAAGTGCTTCACCGGCAGCAAGTGGAGCGTTGCCGCACACCGACGCCGCGGCGACCGCCGATCACCTCCTCCCTCATCCGTTCACCGGCGCGCGGGCACCAACGGTCGGCGGCGCGCGACAACGGAGCCGCGAGGCGCGCGGGCACAAGCGGCAGCTGGCCGTGCAGATGCTGAGGAGCGGCAGCGCGCAGCCCCCCTAGGATTGCTCGTGCAAAGAGTGGGTATAAAAAAAAAAAAAAGTAAAAAGCGATCCACCAAGCAAACCTCTACAATAGCACCATCTTTGGCAAACGTAACTGCGTCGGCAAACCGCCGTAAGCTACTACGTTTCCAGAACAGCTTTCAGAAAACAGTTTTGCACAGCAATCCGAGCACTGCTCGCCCACAGCACTGAACGCTTGAATTAATAAAACCTACACCTACCCTCTAAATAAAGAGCCATTTTAGTAACAGCATAAAAAATGAATGGAAAGCGTGGGCAGGAAAATGCAAACAGCAGCAGCAAACAAACCATGCCTGTATTGGACTGAAATACATCTGTGATGGATTCGTGGCTGATAAAAACATTCGTGATTTGATTCATAAGTTGTATATTTAATTGAAAAATATTAAAAATGCATTTCTATCCTGCATATGTGCCTTTAGCCTCTTTTTCCAACTGAAAAGCATGCCATCTATAACGTTAGCCATTGCTGATTTACAGTGTAGAGACCCGTTCTGGAATGCTCCCTAGCTACAAAATGCACGCAGCCCTTTGCAGAAACATTCGATTTTGCCAGAACCTACAACAAACAGCTATCACCGATCTCCAACATGAATCCCATACCAAGCAGCAACACCAGTGAGACAGCAAAGCCCTCCTCCCTGTTCAGTCATCGCCAGCAATCCAGTTACCTGAACGCTATTCCTGTCCACATTTTTTATTTAAGGACAGTCTCATTGAACTTGCCTAGTTCCCAGCAAAAAGATGGAAGGCAGAGGCTTTTACATACAGACCTTTGCATACTGGAAGTGATATTTAAGTGACCACTACGTGACAAAAGCCTAATAGAAAGAATTGCATGCTGAAGAAGCAAGGAGCTCCTGCATATTAGCACACAGGGCAGAGCAGGCAGCACAGGGACATGTTCTGCGAGACGACTGTGCAAAGCGTGCTCTGAGGAATGCTAAGGCAATGTACTCACTGCCTGAATGCAGTAAGAGAATCGGCTGGAATATGACCAAGAATTGCAGCAAGCGATATAAATGGGACAGACCATTAGAAAGCTTCAGTCCTAAGGAGACTAAGTTGATACAGGGAGGTTATCCCAAAGAATGGAAGACATGTGAGCAATAAGCACACAGCAAAGAAAAATGGTAAGTTTTACTTCTGCATGCAGACTAAGCATGTCTGCTAGCGGTACCGTACCAATAACAACAGCTCTGTCATCGCAGCTTAAGCCCTTTGGACGCCAGACAGCCCCAGCTGCAGCACCCAGGAGACAAACTGAGCTAGCTGCAGCAGCAACTTCAGCTGCTCTCTGTCCAACGGCATGGGAAACACAGGCTCAGCCAGGGGAGCGTGAAGGAGAAAGGAATTCTACCCACACAGAACATCCCAGTGACATCCAAAACAGCTGTAGTTGCATACATCGACTTATAAACATTCCAATTGCTCTTTAATCCCGGAAAGAATTGTCAGTAACATTTTGTATCAATAAAATACAAATATTTGACAGCAGTTACAAGAAAATACTTGTAATTTGTAAGCGAATTGTTTCTCAAACTACACCAATGTTTCACAATATTTTTTTTTTAGTACTGTCAGAGACATCTGATAAGTTTATGCAATCTTTTTTTTTTCCCCAGCAACTTAAAATTTATCATTTGTAAACAAATTCAATAGTCTGAAGCATTATGTTCTATACTTCTAGGAAAATCAGTAGCTGGGAGACAACACACCACCAACACTCTCCCTGACAGGATGAAGCGCAAGCTGGGGCAATGACAGCAAGCAGGCAACCACCGCACATGCTGGCCAGCTCAACTCACCTCTTGCTCACAGAGAACACAGGCACATGCTGGGCACAGCACATGGCACAACAGATGTTAGAACATCTGAAGGAAAGGGAAGGATACAGAACATAAAAATCCTTCACTAGCAATGTTAAACATAAACTGTTTTAAGATCTGCAGTAAGCTATTGAGCAGACTGAGCAACAGACATGAAGCTGTTGCTTGCAGTGTACAACCAAAGCTCACTTTTCTTTTTGAATGTCTTTCAGAGCAGCACATTGCTTTCCTGAAGTTTGGGATGCAACAAAATGACAACTACTGTGGTGGCTTGTTTTCTTTCCTCAGCGTTCAGCATTCCTTTTTTTCTTCTTGCATTTTCCATCCAGAGAACAAGACACCATAGTTGTTTTTATTGGCGTTATCATTTACAGGTTCAAGACTGTAGCACGTATGATTGTATTGGAATATCTATGCATTAGCTGAGACCTGGGGCCAGGTGGTTCTACTTTTTATGGTGTTCAACACTTCAAACAAATTCACTTCACTTTGTGCACCACTTATCTCCAGGCAACTGAGGACTTACAAAAATCCAGATTTCCATCTGTGTTTGGCAGCACGATTAACGATTTACGATTAACTTCAGAGAAATACAAGAAAATCTACACAATCACGGGAAATTTTCTGTCATACTTCAGCTGGTGATCAGTACATGCCAATTTCATCTCTCTCCAGCACGAACTGCTGATTGTTGAACAAACACCCTGCCCCCCAACTATTTACCCAGCAGAGTGAAAAATTATATGGTTAAACACTGGTCAAGAACATCATACTGGTCAAGAACATCCTTCTTGCGTACAATCTGCAACCTCTGAAATTCATTCTTCTTATAATAAAACATGAACATCGCTGGACTCTTGATAACCTTGTCTAAGTTTGCCTCACTCAGTTCATCCAAGATAATGCAGCGATAGTTCTCCCTCTTCTAGTTTCTGCTATCTAAGGACAGTAACTGATTGTACTAACTGAAACAGCAATACAAGAACAAGGTCATTAAAAAGCAAACAAACAGCCCAACACTTAACGGTCACAAGAAGTTATGAACTGACACAGAAAAGAAACGGAACTGATACTGTCTTTAGTTCTACCAAACGCACCATGTCCATTTTCCTGAAGAACTATTCCAACAGCTATCAGATCACTCTGGATACTGTATCCTAGTAATGGACCCAACTACCAAATTATTGTCACTAAAATCATTAAACAATCATATGGTAAGGCTTAAGTGATCTAAGACTGGATATTAAATTTTTGTGTATGAATACACATTATTTATTGCATATATTTATTTATTAATAAATGTTATATATTTTAAATTTATATATACTATTTATATATGTGTATGCACGTAAGTATATGCATTTATGCTGAATTCTGGGACATTCTCAACTCTGCCATGTTCAGTGTTGAAATAAACTCTCTACAGTGAAATAAGCTCTCTACAACCAAGCTAATGCTCAACACCCTGTCACATATTTGGCCAGCAGCATTCTGACAAGATGCAGTAAAATTTTCTGCAATACAAACAGGTGCCAAATGCGAATTATATACCTATCTTAGATCTATATTTGCTAATTCATTCACGTTAAGACTGAAAACTGATCAGGCTGTAACCCATTAAGTTGGATGTTGTGCTCAGATTAAACAACATGCTTTCAAGTCATTAACTTTTAAAATAAACAGTACTTTTCATCAGTCTTTCATATAAACACAATTTTAGATACCTGATTAATTTGATAAAGCTTCTACCAAATTCTTACTGCAATGAATTCCTTAACTCTCAATTTACATCACCCTTAGTCTTAAAATAAAAAAATAAATAAAAATGAAAAAACACACCACGAATCAAAGCAATCTGAGAAAAGATTTATGACAAATAAGTGGTTCCAGCTTGTTATTTTTCTTCAAGTCTTAATTGTGAAATTTCTTCTTCTTCCGATTCTTCTTCCCTGCTGCATAAGCTGCTTTTTCACTCATGATCTCCTGATACTTCCTTTTATTATATCTGAACAAAATAGACAATTTACTTTTAAGCATGGGAAATCAAAGTTCAGGAAAACATAATACGGACACTTATGCATAGATCAAAGGATACTGACACTTGGATTATAGATAAATGCAGGTGAATTTGTTTTGGAAATAATTTGATTGAAAACTCAGTAACTCTGGTATAATCACTGCGTTTTTCATGGCATATATAAATCACATTTTGGACAGTATGCTAAAAAGCTGCTACAGTTCACAGTGGGAAGATTCATCGATTTTGACAACACAATGGAGAATAAACCCATTTCTCTCAGTGAACTTATTATCAACATTACTCTATTCAAGACTAGAGACTGAGGTGAGACTAACATAGAACAGGATGTATGTATTGTATATGAGCAGCTAGCTCCTCTAAGATAAGGGGTTTTTATGTACCCATCATAATGGATCATTGCACACTTAGCAGTGCTAACACTTGATTGCAAAAGTAAACTCAAAAATATTTGCAGTAACACTAAAATAGCTAGTTAAAGCCTTAACTAGTCATAACAAATTAATTGATCAAATTTCAGATGCATTCTTTTTTTTAACACTGCTCCTAATAAATACATTATGAATCAGGTCAAGCCACAAAACTAGAGTTAAGAAGTAGCTATTCTAACTTGCATTAAAAATGAAACTACAAGCCCGTTAATGGCAACCTTATTAGTCCAAATCATGTATTATTTCCAAGAAAACATGTCATTATGGTGAAAATGAGAAATGCACGTTAGCACCATGCAATAATCAATATGCAAATGGACCAACCAAGGGACCGCTTAAAAAAATCTGGAGGTTGGGCAGACATGAATTCATCCAATCATATTGTGCAATTTTAATTCCTGTGACAGCTGGCAGACTGACACGTTCATGAAATGAAATCCCACCAACAACTCATACAGAATTATAGCCAGAACTTTTCTACAATTTACACCAAGAAAAATTAATCAGTCTTTAAACAAACAAACAACAAAAATGCTGATGCATATGCATAAAGCACTGGTTCAGGTTTCTGGCACATGCCTGCATGGTCACTCAGTTAATAAGTAAACCAAAACAAATCTGAGTGTTTTCTTTCCAATACTAACTCTATTTTAAGAGTGACTGTCAATAATGATGACATCTGAGTTGGATCAAACCCTTTGACGATGATAAAAAAATATGCTGTCACAGCCTAGTTATCTCCCATCCCTTGCAACTTCTCAATCACAGTGCTAAAACGGACAAAATTTTTTACTGAACTTGAGAAGCATTTAAGCTGATTAGAAATGATAGGAGAGTTATCTAGTTAAAAATACACCTCCCTTATATATGGCATTAGAATTACAAAACTAATCTTAAATACCTTCTAAACTCAGAATCTGCAAGCAGCTCTTCAACAATTGTTTTCTTCCTCTGTTTCTTAGGAATCCGACTGTGGTAAAAGTCTATGGGAGAATCAAGCACAGTTCCAACCTAGGAAATAAAAATTATAAGCATTCTTACTGCAACAGCAACATGTGGATTTTTTTCAATCTTTAGTTACAGTTCAGAAGACACTTATTAAAAAAAAAAAAGCACAAAATATCAGAAAACCAAAGCAATGTTTTGCATGCAAAATCACTCTTTGTCTCACATTTACTGCACAGGAGAGTCTGAGCTTTAGAACTGCACAGTTTTCAACACTAGACTGCTGCATCGATTCTTATATTCACTAAAAAAATTCAATTCTTAACTTTCAAACATTGTCCCAAGGAGGAAACCCCACGAGTGATGGTTTTCTAGTAGTGACACTGCTAGACTCTCAATAACCCAGGTCTAATAAGGACTTCTGGCTATAGAGCCTCCCATTTCTCCCAACTTGCATGTTAGCAAGCTCTGATGTAATTTTAATGTCCATAAACTTATACCTGCAATAAAATTCATCCTTTAGCAAGAAAGAGAGATGCAATCAATTACGTCAAGCATACTAACTATTCAAACAGACATAAGTACATACAACCAAATCTACTTCTACAGTTTCTGTAGTAATTTTATTTTCTTTCTTCTTGCACATTTTCTTTATGCACAGTGTTTCAAAGATGAACGCTACAGTAGCAGAAATTCTAGCTGATCACAAAGCTAGTCGTCTCCATTCAAACTACATTAGCTAAGAAGAAAATAAATGCTAATTATCTATGCACTTGTTAAAAAAGCTAATACTTTAGTCAACAGTGAACCTCCAGTCATTGAAGGCTCAAAACAGGAATTAAGCCACATGTTTGTTCAGGCCTGTGAGACCAGCCAAAATAAAAAACAGCATATACACCTGAACAGTAGAGTTAAGCAGCTGTAAACTGCAGTGAAGTACTCAAAATACTTAATAATTTAGCTAAGGAAATTAAATCAACAAACACAGAGACTATCTAGAAAGTAGGTTGAGAGTAACAGTTCAAAATGGCAGAAAGTAGTACAATGTCTTCTTTTGCTTTTTCCTTACCTGGAAGTATTTGGGCAGACCATCTCTATCATTCTTCTTATAAAAATGTTTGGGATCCAAAGCAGCTCTCATCTTCAACACCTTAAGATCATTTTTCAGTTCACTTGTGATTTCTGGGGCTTTCATACCAAACCAGCCGTCACCTGTTGTCTTCTCTCGCTCTGCCTACCAAGAAAAACAAAGTTGCATTCAGTTACCAGGACAGAATACAGTTGGGATCTCCCCCACTTCTACCTCCAAAGGATTGATAAAGCACTTAAAACTTAACTGTGTACCTTCAAAAATATTTTATGACTCTTTTAACAAGGTCATCAGCACTGTATTAACCACATATTTGTATAATATGAGCACATACTATATTGCCCTTCACTGCCCTGACTACTAAAAGGCTGAAAGGATGGCCATAAACAGCACGAATCAAGTGGTAGTTCACCACTCCATTTCCTGCAAGCCCTGTACGCACAATGCCAGTGTGGGGCTTTCTACTGAACACCTTCTCTTGTCACCTGAGGCATTATAGCTCTTTACTTACTCTGCGTTGTTTCTTTAGCTGCTGAAGCGACTCCCTGAGGGGTGGGACACATTCCTTTCTTTCAAAATCTGGAGTTATTATACTCTTCTGCAAGAGCTGCAAGAGTTATTTTTTAAACATCAGTCAGAGATATCAGTTTTACCATGCACCTGCATTTACAGAGCCTACCAAACGAGCGATGCAGAATCTACATAATCACTGTAATCAAATACTTCAGTTCAAACTCCTCCCTTAGTCTCCACCAAAAGAAGCACAGACCCTCAAAATGTACAGGCAGAGCAGAACCCTGGCTAATTCTGGAAGAAGCAAGACAGCAAACGCTCCAGAATAAAGAAGGTTATTGTCGATAAGTCTAAGAAAACACTCCCATGAAAACAATGGACTTTCTTTATCTCAAAGAGTATTCTGAAATAAAACTAACTATCTCATACAAGGTACAGTATAACTCTGTATTTGCTGAAATTCATTCTTGCTATGGACTACAGATTTCATTAGCAGACCTTCAGTTTGTACCATCAGGCAAAATGTATGCACAATCAACTTCTTTTTATTTTACAAGACAACACTCATGTACAAGCTGGTTTGCAGTTTCTGAAGTGTCATATGTATTTGAACTCTAACCACTGAAACGAATTGTAAACACAAAAAAAGTAGAAGTTCTCAGCAAAGCAGAAAACAAGACACTTCTTTAAAATAACTCCAACAAATACAACAAGTATTACTGTAGTTGTAGGTAATGCAAAATTGTAAACACATTACCTGGTCCTTCTTTTTCTCCTTCAGTTGCTTAATTACACTTGTACTAGGTTTTTGTTTTTTTCCATCAAAGCTAATATATAAACCTCCAAGCTTCCTGATATTCAAACCAGGGTCTATGCTGCTGGAAAGATGCAAACTAAAAAGGGAAACAGTAAATGATTAGAATATTGCATCAAATCTTGTAATGCCCTGTGAGAGGAATAAACAGAAAAAATATATTTTTCATCTTCTTCCAAATTACATTCAGCACTGCAGAGACTTTTACTCTCAATATTTAGAAGAAATACATCATTAAGCTGTGACAAGTTCACTCATGCCATTATACGGAACGAGGGCTGAATAAAGAGCAACTCCTGTGGGTTCACTTCCACAGATCCTTCACATTTACTCAAATGATCTATTCTATCTTAGACATTTTTATCTTCTATAAAATTTAGTTCTTAGTTTGCTTAACCATGCCAAAATAACTTATAACCAGCATCCTTCTTCTACACATGTAAAAGCTTGCTAGCTAAGAGGAGGGGGGAAAAAAAGCCCCAAATTATTTTCAGCTCTTAGTGAAAAATGTGAAGGTACCAGAATTCATCAGAGAAACATTGTCTGGAATGACAAGTAATTGTACAACAGTGCTAGGAACTAAGCTATTAAACAATATATGATGGCTGACTCAGAAAGAGCCTTCAAATAACAAGAATGCACGACACCTATCAAGTACTACGGAAAAACACAATGATATTTAAACAGCTGTATCAGATACTTATAGCTAGAATGCGTAGATAGGTAAACTTTCTTTTAAACTATGAACCAGTCATCTTTGATACCTTTATACAGAACACCTGGCTAATTATTTGTAGGATTTCTAGCCTACCTAAAGGGAACTTCAAGTAGCAAGACTTACTTATCAGACCTAAGCAGAGTATTTAAACATCCGAAGCATGCAAAGGGGTTTTAGCAGGGAGCTGGACTAGGTAAGCTCAATAGGTTCCATCTAACCTATATTATTCTATAATTGTATGCTGATTTCACTTGAAGTGTTACATATCACAATCTATCTTAATCTTATCTTCCTTAAGCCATGTTTTAAAAACAAGAATTGAAAACATAAGAGCAACTTTTCAGAATTAAAAAGGATGATCTAACTAAGCAATGTGTAAGTCATTTACTGGATTTCTATTATTTACATTTGAACTAAAAATAATACAAAAATAAAAGATTAGCATGAAAACTGTGACCTGAGTAAGCAATTAAGTCAGACCAGTTTAAACCAGTTTCACATTGCATTTTTAAGCTGAATGCATGCAAGGCCTCAAGATGCCTAAATGTTTCAGATATTTCTGTTCTGCTACCTGTAAAACTGAAAAAAATAAGTGAATTACAATTCTACGTGATAATCAGAACAACTAAATTATCCACATCTGTGACAACATTACTCCCTTTCGCTCTGTGCCGTTTAGTGTGTAATATGCATATCTGATGCATACACCTAACGTAATGCATGTTTTTTTAGCTACTCCCAGAAAGACACTTACACATCAATTTTATTTTTCAACAAGTCATCATCTTCATCTTTCTCATCTTCATCTATTAGTTCCTCTTCAGCCTCCTCTAGATCTGAGGATTCTTCAACTTTTTCACTCCCTTCATGCTTACTTTCAACATCACTACCTTGCTCTACCTGATCCAGGTAATACTTTCGGCTGGAACCCATGCCAGGCTCAGTATCAATTACAAAAAGGCCTTCAACATGCAGTGAATTCTTTTCTAAAGATTTGTTCACGGAAGGAGTCCTCTCTTCTGCCTCTGTGTCACTCAGATTCTCTTCTGTCGCATCACAGTTCTCAGATTCACCGCTTCCATCTTTGCTCAGTAACAATGCAAAGGAATCATTTTCATCACTGGATCTTTCACTGCTGCGGGATACAAATTCAGCACATTCTCTTGTTTGGTCTTGTTGGTCTTCACTGCTGTCTACACTGATTCCAACCATTCTACAGCTACTAATTATGCTATCAGTCATTTGTGCAACAGACACATCCTTCCCTGGGCTGCTTGCTCCTCTAGACTGTTCACCCTTTCTTAATTCACAGGTGTGGGTGGAAGTTCTCTCAACAGCTGCCTCAGCATCTACTCTTCTGTTTCCTGGCACTGCTTCATTTTCATTTGGTATTATTTCCCCTGGGGATTCTAAAAACACTTTGGGACTCATGCAGTCCATCAAACAAACATCCATAATCTTCAATGTCACCTTCCCTGGTACTTTACTGTGCTCTTCCTGCATCTGGCCACTTTCTTCCTCTGAATCATCTACCTCAACAACCAGAGTATCTGTTAAAGCTTTTTTTACTGGTGATTCAGTACTTTTTTTTCCCATTTTTTCAGGACTACTAGGTGCCATATCATTCAAAAAGTTCTGTTTCACACCTTCATTAGGGATTACATTAGCAGACTTGGGAGAACATTCGCTCTTAGGTGAACCAGATTCTTTATTACACTCAGTGACAAAGGAAGCAACTTCTATGTTAAATCCTGCAGCAGAGCTAGAGTCAGAAATTAGGTCTGACTCAGATTTAATTGTGTCCTCAATTACATTCTGAGGTTTTGAAACAATTTTGTTTACTTTCTCAGCATGCTGAGTATTTTCTGCTTGCAGTTTCATTTGCATGCTCCTAGTAGTTCGTTTGGCAGTAATGGACGGCTCCTGATGAAAACAGCATGACTCTGCATCAGAGATATCTTCACTCTGGGCTTCACAAACAAGATCTGACTGCAACTTCTTCCTGCTTTGCCTATTTCTCGTAGTTTTGGTAGAATTAGGCATCCGGACATCAGAAACAGCAGAGGAGCAAGACTCAGCTTCAGAGACATCATCTTCATCCACAGTTCTGCTTAACTCATTTAGAAAAGCAGTCCTGTTATGTCTTTTTTTCGAAGGGGAAGCTGGTTGATAAGGAACTACAATTTGTCGCCTTCTCGTTACTCTTATAAACAGAGGTGTCTGAAGACCAGACACAGCAGAACAGTTTGATTCTGCCTCTGACACATCTCCATCAGCCTGTGGATCGGCAGATGATTGTGCTGAATGAACAGCTGTATTCTCATTTCTACTAATCTGCATCTCTGTGCTATCACTGACATCTGGTTTTGTTCCTGCATGGTCCACCTCTTCCAGCTGAGATTCCCGAATTACAGCAGGTTTACAAACTGCTTTACTCCTTCTGGACATCCTCGTAGATACTGAAGTACCAATTTCAGCAGATACAGTCTAGAAGAGGAAAACAAAATGTGGTATTAAAGGATAAGATAATCCCATAAAAGACATACTGTACAAATCACCGACAATCCTTCTTACACAAACCTTATCATGCCGATACCGTGCTATAGATCTCCAAGGAGCATTGCTGTATCATCCCTTACTTAACAATTTATTGTCTCTCGATCAAAATCACAGAATAAAGAAAACCATAAAATCAAGAAACATAAAATCAGTACTTTGCCTCAATCCATAAGTTCTGGCAAGCTGTCATGGGAAGCAGGTCCAGAGGTGCCATTCTGAAATGTGCCGCATTGCTCAACTATATATATACATAAATATATATATGTATAAAAAACTGCGCCAGCAGTTATAGGGACGGATGGCCTGCACTGCAATTGCAATGCCTGTTTCTCTAGTGCTTGGAAGTGACCCTGCAAAGCGGATCAAGATGGTGGAAATGCTTCCCCTGTTGCAGAAAAAGCATTCTCAGATTGCAAAGTATTTCCTAACAGAACAAAGCCGGATCGACGTAAAACCTGCTGCCTGAGCGCTCCGCGCCTGCACGACTAGCGACACGCCTTGTGAAAAGGCCCCAGCACGGCGCTAACGTAACCGCCGTACAACAGAAAGAACAAAACCAGCCGACCCAAGGCGAGCTCTCACCTCCAACCAGAACCGTCACGCGGCCGCTCGGCGCACGAGGACCTCAGGCTCCGCGGGCGGCGGCACGGCCGGAGCGCAGCAGGACATCGCGGCCCCGCCGCGCAGCTCCCGAGCCGCCCGCGCCGACACGCGAGGGGGAAGATGGCCGCTGCGGCCCCGGCCCCCCGCCCACACCCCACGCCGGGGACAGCCGCCCGCGACCCGCCAGCTCCCGGCCCCCCTCACCTCCGTCGCGCCGCCGGGTCCGTCACCCCCGGCTGCCGCCGTCCCCGCCTCCCGCCGCCGCGTCGCCCGCCTGGTGGCCACCATGGTGCGCACCGCGCCGCCGCCCGCCTCTTCCGCCCGCCCTTCCGGCGCCGCTCCGCGGGGCGGTGCCCCCGGCGCCCGGCGGGCCGCGGCGGAGTTCCGGCCCCGGAGCGGAAAGACGGCCGGGAGACGGAGGCGGCAGAGGAAGGAGTGGCTATGGCCGCTGCTGCTCTCTGCCTCCCGTCGCAACGCACGACTCGGCGCTTCGGGCGTCCCGAGCTTCCCCACATTCCCATCCCATTCATTTTAATTTTAATCCCCACATTCTCATCCCTCAGAACCGAGTCTGGCGTAAAGGTGAAAGCAGAGAGGTGGGAGAAACGTGAGCTACGACGCTTCTTCAGTAGCGACAGTGCTCTTTTTTTTGTTGTTTTTCCCCTCCCCGTACCGCACCACGCAGCGGGGAGGAGGCACCGCGTTCGGGAGCTCAGCTTAAAATACACGTTTTATGACAAAGGCTCCGATAAGGTGAAAAAGTAGGAGGAGGACAATGAGAATTCATACAACGGCCTAAAAGAACTTCGGTTTTTAATTCGTCTCTGAAAGAAATGCCACCTCTCAGACTTCTGCACAGAGAGTAATACTGAAAAGCTGGTAAGTCGTTATGCTATCAATGACATCACAAAAACAAGACTGTCTTAAAGGGCATTTTCCTAAAGCAAGAGAACTCAGTTGACAGCTGGAAAGTAAATAATGACACCATAAGGGCAACGTGCATTGTTTTAGCACAGCTCTTATTTTAGGGAATTCCCACTGACAGAACACACATGCAATCAAATAATGGCAGCAAACAGTTCAGAGTGGTTAATCAGCAGCAGCACACAACTCAGTGCCATACACAAGGTACAAAGGAAACACCTTTTCCAGATCTGATGCACACGGACCCAACATAAATCCTACATTTTGTTCAGGAGGAAAAAACCAGAACATTTTATTGATACATTACTAGTTCAAGTTCTCTGCCTCTTGTTTATCAAAACAACTGAAGCAGTAGTAGAAATCCACGCATTCCTAGGGTTTGCCATATACACGTAAGATAGTGAAGAACTCAAAGGCATCTCAAAGAATCATCTTGTAACTTAGTGGAATGGTTCAGAGCGAGCTGGTATTTCCACACAGTGCCTACAAGCACTCAGATTCAACTCGCTGCCTGCACAATAGAATTTAAAAAATGGTGGAAATTTGTTTCCTCACAGCCCTAAGCTCAAAATAAATACATACAAATAATTTAACTAGTACTAATAAGTACTAGTAACTCCTACCTGAAATCCAGAGGAAAATGAGCATTGGATTCTAGACACTTAGAACCCCTGGTGAACAGACAGAGCTTTTTTTTTTTTTTTTTTTCCCCCCATCTATTCTGATTTTAATGCCAAGGAAATTTAAAGGCCTTTCCAATAGAGCACATTAAACCGGCCTTAGCTGCAGCCATTTCTCCCTAAGACTCCAAAGCCAGACCGTTAAGCTACTGCCAAACAGAAAGATATCTAAGTCTAAGACAATCTTCGTCTGCTTCATTTCTGAATGGCACCCAAGCAAGGCCGTTTCCAAGGCAATCCTCAGAATCATCATCCCTTTTACATGAACACACAGTCAGCAGCCTTAACATTTCCCACTGTTTCTGCCATGGCTGATTCAGATTGCATAGCTCTTGAACATTAGAAGAACAAACACACACAGCTGAGGACAAACCAAGTACTATTGGATTCCTGATTAACACATTTCTCATCATTTGTTTCCAGTTCTTAATTTTAAACACACAATGGAACATTTTCTACTTGAAATAGCAAAGATGCCATCATTTGTGAAGTACTAAAAGCACAAAGGCACAAAAGACAGAAGGAATTCAAGTCATAAAAAGTAAAGCAATTTGGAAGATGCTTCTTTCTAAATCAGAGGATTGCTTTTTTTTTTTTAATATAAACATGATATATTAAAAATAAACCAATTTTTCCCATCCACACAAATTAAACAACTAATTTGCCTATATACATAAGAAGTAAAGATAGTTTATTTAGAATAATTGTTCCATGAAAGATGGCGATTTTCTATAAAAAAAAAAAATAAATCAGTCCTTGAATGTTTGAAATCCATGTTCCTACCACATTAGTAAATATTAAAGAGAAATTGAACTTAAAAATATATGTTTCTCTATGCTGCCTAGCGGTAGCTAAAATATAATCAGAACTCCTACAGTGAACTGGTCATAAAAAGAAATACTTTAAGCTGTTTCTTTATAGATCATTTCAACAGTAAAGCCAAAACATTTTTAATGAACTGGTCAGTACATTAAAAAATATATCATTAGAACACTGCAGATGCTCCTTCTAACATCATGCTCAATAATTACAACTTTTGGTCTTTGTTATAAATGATGTAAAGTCTCTCTATGAAAAAGGCATGTTCCTCCCATCCCCCAGAAATTAAAACAGTAGGACATTTCAAAGAATAAAAAAAGGTGAAGGGTTTTAAGAGGCGTTTCTTTTAGCTTGCATGATATAGCCTTTGGACTTGATAATTCCTCTGCTTTTAACAATGACCGAATACCGCAGAATCCATAAAGGAATCCATTCGTGTGCTTTGATGTTCTGGATGCTTTCCTGAAGAACTTCTTGAAAACTTGCTTCACAAAGTAATTCTAAAGTTAAAAAGGAATATTCATGCTTTAAATAATGCCAGACAAACAGCTGCAAAAAGCAACACTTAGTAAGAGAATCTTTTGCCTACAGTGAAAACCTTCAGCAGCATCAGGTATCCACTCCTTCTGAATACATACAAGGGAAATTCCATTCAACATTTCAGAATAAATCTTCAGGACAGCTTTTGCCTTTTAACAAACATTATTTTCCATAGAACCAATAAACAGAATTCCACCACATCTAATGGAGCTGATCAGCAGAGCTACCAGCAAGAAAAAGCAAAAATTAAAGTCAAGACACTAGCTAGACAAATCAGAGAGCAGTAAAGCATGAGGCTGAAATCAGCAAAGTAGTGAGCAGCAGCAGAGTTCTTTTTGCAGCCACAAGAAGCTCAGCCTTTATAGCATCTCCTGTAATGGGACTCATGGGTATAAGCTCAGAAAGCATCAAGGAAAACAAGGATAATTGCTAAAAAGCAGGATGACCAGGAATATACAAACTCTCCTAGTTTCCTCTGGGAAGTCAGTCAAAGCAACAATCTGATGAGGAGCATTCCCAAAGATAGTCTCAAGACTTTTCAGCTGACCAAGACAGAAAAACTAGGCTTTGCAAACAATGCATGAGAAAATGACTCTGCCTTATTTTCAAACAAAATTCTCTTCTTCATTTCATGACTCTTGATTGAGATTAGCTATTAAATCACAGGCTGTGTTTTGGATGTGGAATTTGCCACATTGAATGGCAATTCACCTTGTAGCCTGCTAGGGTGGAACTGACACATTCTCAAGCACTGACGTAAGCCATTGGTTTTGACGGTGATACTATAAAGCAGGTACTTAGATAGCATTTCATACAGAGCTGGATTTTGTTTTTTTTGGTTTTGTTTTTAACTTAAGGGGGGGAAGGGAGGAAAGGAGAAGAAAGAAAAAAAAAAAAAAAAGACAACTGTTGATCAGGAAGAAATGTGTGGGAAAGGAATGAGCAAAGTATTGGTTAAGACTTCAGGCTTACAGTTCCAGCAAGATATTTAAGGTATCATTACAGCAAAGATCTTCTGATGAGTTTTGAGAAATGAATGCAATACCAGTATATTCCAGTGAGCTAATAGCTCAGAGTTCTAGAGACTACAGAAAGTCTTAGAAGTCCTTCAACCACTTTATAAACTGCTCTAAACAACTGAAGAATTCAAACAGTTACAGAAAGAATTTGTGAAAGTCATCACAAATGAAAGAATCCATCATGAAGTGCAATAATTTCCTGTTTCCAACATTATGCAAAGATCAACTGACTGACCATCAACGCTCTCATGCAAGATCTCCGCAGAAAAGTTCTGGGCAAGTGGACTTCCATTTGTCATTTACTGCCCTTCACCAAGAACAAAATGAGTTTATGTGATTTATATAAATAAGTTATTTTTGAATGAAGCATAGTAAAAAAAATCTCAGTACTTTGTTCTTATATTTACATTGTTTTTGCCAATTAAAACTATTTCAAAGGACTAACCCATGGTGGAAGACTTGTTGCCTTTGCACCCTCTCTCCCTCCCTCTTCTGGAAGGGAAAGCAAGAATGTAATACTTTGTATTATATAATACTTTGTAGAGATGAACTTTCTAAAATCCTTTTTTCAGGAATCAAATGTAATGAAGTTTGAAGTGCAGAGAAAGATCATTCCTGATTTTGGACTGAATATGTGCATTTAGAAGCCTTTGGTTACCATTACATGTCTGAACACTGCAGAACTGTTAGGCCATCTTGCAAAGTCTTACCTTTCGGGTCATTGTGAGTTAGCAGCTGTATGTCAAACTGTTTTGCAAATGCTGTGAGATCAGGCGGCATCACGCAGCAGGAAGCCAGGTTCACCTGATTGCTACTCGGTTTCACCTGAAAGTAATAGAATGCTTTTATAAGAAAAAACATTGTCATTCTTTGCACCTACGCCTGTATTACAGCGCTTGGACCAATCTGCCTTGACCACTGCTGTGAGACCTGAGCAAGGGCAGAAGTTCCACACGTCGCTCAACAACCAACTCCAACACCTGTAACTTCCCGCAGCCCCGGGGCACAAAACAACATAGGATCTCACTTCAGGTACCATCACAGTGAGGCACATTCTAACCCATCGTGGCTTCTTGTCTATTGTGCTCCCTAAATACCAGAGTATTTCTACCCCCTCTCTGCAGTAAGAATGTTATAGGGGTGTTACTTCAAAAAAGATCTCAAAATTCAGGTTTATTAAGGATATATAATTTGCAGCCTTTCATATATTCAAATAAAACATATCAAGTTAAAAGGGACTTTCCCACTGACTGCTCACCACAGTCTACATCCATGATCACAGATGGTTATCAATTCCCTGAACTATCTCAATATACAACAGAGTGAGGAGTATAAAACAGTTTCGTCATGTTCACACATCACAAAAGAAATGCAAGAGCAGTATTCAAAGAACTGATACCAAAACAGTAAATCCCTAAGCTTACACAAGCATGATCAGATGCTAGTAGTGACCTCTGGCACTCAAGTATGACAAGGCAAGTAGTCACATTGGACAAGCAAACATTATGCTGCTTGATTCAGTCTCTCTTCCTCTTTCAGTTTAT